GAAGGGTGATGGGGGAGGAGGAAGCAGCAGGAGGGCAGGGTAAGGAGGAGGAGGAGGAGGAGAAGGAGGAGGGCAGGGGGAGGAGGAAGAGGAGGAGGAGGAGGCGGGGAACCGCGCGCTGCCGGAGCCGCCGCCGCCGCCGCCGCCGCCGCCGCGGGTGAGTCGCCGGTGCCCGGTCGGGGGGAGCGGGCCGGGGTTGGGCTGAGATGGGGTGGGGTCGGCTCCCCTTTTGGGGTGCGACCCCAGGAAGTCGCTGCTGCCAACGGGGCGGCCCCGGGGACCGCTGGTGTGGTCATGGAGGGGGGCAGGCAGCCCAGGTTGGCCGGAGGGCTCTGCCCGCCCCCGGTTCGCTCCATGAGGGAGCTGAGCGGCTGTTCAGCATCTCCCCACCCTCTCCGTGCCGGTGCTGCTGGCATTGTTCGGGATGGAGAGCGGCGGGAGCCGGGCTGCGAGTGGGAGGGGAAAGCCCGCACCCCCCGTGCTGAGCCTGGTCCCGAAACGCGGTGTTCCGGGGCGTCCGGACACAATCGGTCTTTGTGAAAAGGAAGGAAAGAAAAGGAGGAAAAAAAAAAAGCCGACCAGGGCGTAAATTTCCCCATGAGAACTCGTTGCTGTGCCGCTGCAGCCGGGAGCATCCCGCAGCGCTCCTGGCCGGTGGGTCGTGCAGCTCCGCGTTTCTGCTCCGTTACAGGACACAGAGCTCAGCGAGGGGGAAGTGGGGACCCAGAAATCCCTCCTTTCACCCTGGGGGTCTACAGGGCCCCGTGTCCCTGAGCAGCATCACCCGGTGGGTGCTTGTGGGGTGTCCCCTCCCCGGTGCCATGGGGCAGCAGCTTTGCGTACCACCAAAACTCCCTCCACCGGTGCTGACCCACACAGTGTGCTTCCACGGGACTGTTGGTAGCGTGAGCATCCTGCAGAGCTTGCCTGCCTCGGGCTGCTCCCTGCACAAGGGGTGTGCTCCACCAGTACCCCAATGGAGCCTAGGGTTCCCAATCCGTAGCCCGACATTCAATTGGTGAGACCACTGGAATGAGCCTTGGGGGTCTTTCTGACCTTTTCTTTCCTTTTTATGTTTGTCCCATTAACGGAAAAAGGACACCAGCTTGCAGCTCCTCCCTGCAGGTCTCTGTGAACGGTTTCCTGTCTGTCAGCCCAGCGTGGGCCTCACGTGGTGGGAGAAACAAGGCTGTGCTGCACTGTGCTACCAGGGCGAGCGCGTGGCTGAGCCGCAGCATTACCCAGCTCCTGCCCAGGGCTGGAACCCGCACCCAGCACTCGTGGCCCCAGGCTGGTGGTGAGCCCGATGCTATCACCAGGTGCCCAGGGCACGGAGCAGATGGGCACAGCATGGCTGTGCCAGCTCGGCTCGGGTGGCTGCAGTGTCCTCTGGGCACCGCCTGCCTCTGCTGCTTGGAATGTATTTGTGGGAACTGTGCCCATGGGGGCTGAATTTTGGGGGCCATGGGGAATGCTGTGCCATGCCTTGTGTTCCTGTAGCTGTGTGCCCGAGCCAGCGCAGATGGGCTGTGGGCAATCCCTATGCCATGATAGGTCTGCAACTCTGCATCCAGCCTGGCTCTGCTGCCTGCCTCCTGCTGTTCTCTCTGAAAACAAAGTGGTTTTGCAGTGTGCTGCGTAGGCTGCATCCACTTCTGTGTATTGTGTCAGGGATGCAGAGGGACTGCAGGTTTGCCTTGCCCAGGAAGGCTCGGCCTCCCCTCATCCTCATCGTGGTAGCTTGGGCCAAGTGGATGCACTCACCTTGGCTTGAGAGAGCATGGTGCCAAGGGCAGGTCAGTGGGAGCGTTGCTCTCCTCCGTGGCTCCTGCAGAATTACTGTTCCCCTGTGCTCCAAAGATGCCAAAGCATTGGGAGCTTGCAAGTTTGGCGTGTGAGGTAGAAAAGCCCCCTGAGCAGTGAGTGCTGCGGTCCTGCCCATCTGCTGGGACTGGCTGGGAGCTATAAATTCACTCCTTGCTTCTAAAAGTGTCTCTGTTACACCCAGCAGCCATAATTCTGGAGGATTGTTGCTCCACATCACTGGAAGGTTGGTTGGGCTGCACGACTCTCTTGAAACATCTGTGGATGCTCAGCTGCTTGGAAGCTGTGATGTTTTCACGCCCTCAGCTGACTGATATACTGCCATTGGCTATCCAACTGGCTATGCTAACCCATCCAACTGACCTGGCAGCCTGCGGTGTTTCCAGTCTAGCAAGGAGGAAAGGGAGCTATCCCCAGTCTAGAAACCTCTGTGCAGCATTCTTGTTTGCTGGGTGCTGCTGCTTGGGATGCCTGGGACAACATCTGCAGCCCAGAGCAGTTGGATGCCCTCTCTCATCCTCACTGGCAGTTCCCAGCGTTGCTTCCCCGAAGGCTTTTTGCAGAGGGACCCTCTTGCTGCAGCCCTTTGCCCTGGGGGTGCTTCTGAGCGGCTGCTGCGCAGATGTTGGATTTGGCTCGCATCTGATGCGCGTTAATTATGGTGCAACAGCCCAGAGCCTTTGGCAAAATAAACTTGGGAGCAGCTGTCCGAAGTCACCCTGGAGCTGTGGGCTGGTTTGTGCTGGTGTTCTGCACACTCTGCATCTCCAGTACCCACGTGGAGGGGATTTCCCCAGCAGAGAGGACGTTTGTGCACAAGTTCCCATGCACCTCATGTTTGTTTACCCATGGGCATCAGCAGAGCGAGCAGGCCCCATGCTTCCCCAGGAAGCAGCTGTGCTACAGAGAAGCAGTGGTGGTTGAGGTCTGACTGCTGTTGGAGGCTCAGTGGCACTCAGGCGTTCCTGACAGCACTGTGTGTTTCTGAACTCCTGCACAGCCCCTTTGGAGCTGACTGGATGCTCAGGTTCTTGTTAGGAACAGATCTGCTCTTCCCAGGAACATTGTCTCGGTGGGAAGCTGAAAGGAAAGAAAGCGAGAGCGTGGGTTGCAGCATTTCCCTGGGGAGTTCTCCAGGCAGTTCGTGTCCGTGCATCCCTGTTGTCCTGCAGAGCCTCCGAGTTGCAACATGTTTATTTATCTTCTCCCCAAACGGGAACCAGATGCTGGGATAGCTTGGCCTTTCACTTACTTTTTCCTATTGGCCAGCTGTGTGGGCCGTGTGCACCTTGGTGGTGGCAGCGTGGCAAACAGGCACACGTGATGTGCATCCTTTTGTGGCTTTTGTCTCACTGTGAGCTGGTGAGTCACGAGCCCTGTGCGGTGCATTGGAGCAGAGCACTGCAGGGCTGCACGTAGAGCCTGCATGGGGCTGGGGCAAGGTTTGTGTGCACGTCCCAGCTGTGCGCTCAGGGAGGGTGCAGCACCTTCTGCAAATTGCATGGTAGCAAGGCTCCGTGCACACCCATGGCTGTAGGGTGCTCCACAGAAATAGCAGTGATGCATTGGCACAGCTGCCGTGGGGGGGAGGGCAGGGGTGTCACCGTCCCTGCAGGTGTCCCAGAACCGTGGAGATGTGGCACTGAGGGATGTGGTCAGTGTGCACGGTGGGGTTGGGCTGATGGTTGCAGTTGGTGAGATGAGAGGTTCTTTTCCAACCTTAATGATTCTATGACTCGCTTAATTCCTCTGCCAGCCCCCAGGCTGCATCCTGTCCTGCAGGACCAGAGCACTCCAGGCTCTCTGTGTGTTACCCTGCTGTTCTGCTCCCGGAGCACAGCGCAGAGCAGTTGCACAACCCTGTGCTTCTGGTGGCAGCATACTTTCCACGTGATTTATTTTTTAGTGGTATGTAGGGATTTTTTTCCACTTTTGGCCTTACCACTTTGAAACAATGCCAACTCAGGACCTATGGAAGGACCTTAGGCATGCTGGACTCGCAATCTGTTCCGGGAGCAGCCTGCAGTGTGCTGCCAGCTGTGCTGGAGCCCAACCGCCTGGTGCAGGGCTGGATGGAGGAGCAGATTGTTGCCGTGTGTGTCAGCTGCTTTGTTGTTCTCCAGCAGGGCTGGGGGTGGAAAAAAGTGCTCAGAGCCACCCCAGCAGTGTTGGCGATTGGTGTTGGGTTTGTTTTTATTTTTTATTCATGCTTAGTGTTAAAGGAGTGCAGTGCTTGCAGGACGTGAGTACTACTGCCCCAAAGAGCCGGGGCTTGGTTTGGAGGAAACCCCTCTGCCCCAGCTGCAGGGGAAAGCATGCAGCTCCTCATCAGAGCCAGAAATAACAGTGGGGTGAGGCTTAAGTGAGGATAGGAGCTGACATCCCTATTCCTGTTTTAATGAGTGGGGTTGAGGACCTTCGCAAAAAGCTTAAAGCAAGTAAATCAGTTTGGCTCGGATGCAGGGATGTGGGTGCTCATCCTGCTTGTGCACACTTTGTCCTGGGGATGCATCACCTCGTAGTGCCTTCCTGGTGGTTCTACTTCCCATCTGTGGATCCCAGAGGAGATGGAGTTCTGACTTTTTGTGTGAAGATGTTAAATGAGACTATGAATGTATATTTGTTTCTCTCTCATCCTCCAGAGGCATATGCCTTCTTTGCAGTGCAGTGTTGAAGTGCTTTGGTAATGTGCATGCTCTGCACTGAGCTAAGTACCCTGCTTCTTGGGCAAGTCAAAGGCTTTGCTTTTCCCCTGACAGATAACAACAGAACTAGAGCAGTACTGTGACAGCCCTGTTACTGTGTGGGTGCTCTCTGGTGCGACCCATTTAGATGTGGATGTGTTGTTCTCCATCTCTCAGTGGGCTGCAGTGGGGCTCTGCATTTGTGCTGAGGGCTTCCTCAGTGCTGGGTCTGGCTCAAAGCATTGCGCTGGGATCTGGTGGGACCTGGCAGGGCTCTGCCCATGGAGCAGGGCCCACAGTGCTGGGCTGCATCCTTGTGCTGTGCTTCATAGGCTTGGTAACGTGGGCAGGGATTGAGGTGCATGCAGTAGGTTAAGAAATGCAAGCCCAAATTCGAGGTGATTCCAGGCAAAGATGCTGCGTGCTGCTCTCTCAGCCCCCAAATGCCCCAAACTGCTCAGCCTTTCTGACCATTCTCCCTTTGCCCCCCAGGTCCAGAGGCCATTCCCAGCCCTGTGCCCAGCATGACGGACGCAGTGCGTGATGCTGGCCCCAAGCAGGCAGCACCGGCACGGCCGGACAAACCAGCTGCAGACTTCGGCTACGTGGGGATCGATGCCATCCTGGAGCAGATGAGACGGAAAGCCATGAAGCAAGGCTTCGAGTTCAACATCATGGTTGTGGGTGAGTGCTCCCTGTGGGCCAGCTGCCTGCAGCGTGCTCTACGGGCTGTTTGTTTTATTCTGTGACAATGTTTGTCCTCTCTGTTCACCCCTTGGGAACAGCAGTTCAGCTCCATGTCGCTGTCTCTGACACGGAAGAGTGCTGTGTGCAGAGTGCTGGTCAAATTCAGCGGTCATTATGGCCAGGATGGGACATAGCCTGGCAATTGCCAGGATCCCAGTGCTGTGTTGGGGTGCATCACTCCCCCTGGGATTGCCTCAGAGGTGTCAGGTGTTTCTGTAGCCTTGCAGAGAGTGACAGCCCTGCAGTGGTTTGGCAGCAAGACAGAGAATCGTCGAATGAATCATAGAATGGATTGGGATGCAAGGGACATCTGTTGGGTTGTTTGCAACCTACTTTAGAGTACTTGCTTTAGCAGGGGGTTGAATTAGATGGTCCCCAGAGGTCCCTTTCAATTCCTGTCTGTGTTTCTGTGATAGTGTGACCTCAAAGATCATCTAGTCTCAACCCCCCATAGCATGAGCAGGGTTGCTGACTCAACGTGGCCTTGAGCACCTTCAGGGATGGGACACCCACAGCTTCTCAGGGCAGGCTGGGATGTGGGCTGGGAGGTCACTGCAAACTCTCTCGCTTCATAACCAGTTGGTGCAGGTTCTTGTGATGTTTTTCTGTGTGAACCTGGCTGAGCAGCTCCAGGCTTCCCCCTGCACTCCCAGCAGATGCTGGGGGCTGATCAGAAGGGCTCTGCTTTGGCAGCACTCTGTGTGTGGTAGGGAAGCCTTTGCTGTAGCGTGGCTGGAAAACATTGTTCCTCCCTTGGCAGGCTCCAGAGAGCTGTTTACAGGCTGGGGAATTCGTAGCAGCATGAACAAGCTGAGCTGCATCTCTCCCAAGAGACGTGGGGAGGGGTGCAGGAGCACCTGGACCAGACTGTATCACATGTCCCCTCTGCAACCCAGTGGTGTTAGCTGCTGCTGAGCAGCGTGTGCTGTGCTGTACTGCATTGCAGCTCACAGTGGATGCAGAAGCCTGGGGTGTTGGCACTGCTGCTGCTGGGATTCCTGTCCTGCTAAAGGCTCACAGAGCCGCTAGGGGAAGATGTGGGAGTGTGTGGTGGTTCAAGAAGCCACGTGCAGAGGAAGGAACTCCTTTGTATGTGACCACACTGCTGTCCTCCCCCCGCTTTCCACTACACACAGGGTGCAAGGAAGGGCTTTGCCCCAATAACACTGCCCTGTCACAAGCTCTGTGCAGTCTGTGTCCTGGCAGCTTCTCATCTGCTGTCTCCTGCAAAAATAACCCGGAAATGTCACAGTGCTGACGATGGTTTGTCCTGCTGCTTTCCAGGTCAGAGCGGCTTGGGGAAATCCACATTAATCAACACCCTCTTCAAATCCAAAATCAGCCGGAAATCTGTACAGCCAACTTCTGAAGAGCGGATCCCCAAGACCATTGAGATCAAATCCATCACTCACGGTGAGGCTCCACATATCCCAGCTGGTGCTTTGGCTTTCTGTCCTGCTGTGCCTTGCGTCCTGCTGAACCTCTGCTCTCATCTGCCCAAATGGGCGTAGAGCGTCCAGAGATGCTCAGTGGGCTGGGAAAGCACATCGTTTCCTTTTATCCTCCAGCATTGACTTAATTATGATAGAAGAGAAAAAGCAAGTTGGCAGCTGGGGGGACTGCATACAGGGCAAATGCAGTGCTGCATCCCCTCGGAGGGCTGATTTGTGCTTGCTGGAAACTGTAAGGGGAAGCTTAGCCAGAACATGCTTGGCTCACACTGTCTGCTTTCCTCTCCATTTCAGAGATTGAAGAGAAGGGGGTTCGCATGAAGCTGACGGTCATTGACACCCCTGGCTTTGGAGACCACATCAACAATGAGAACTGGTGAGCTGCCTGGGCACGAGGCTGCTGCAGGGAGAAGGCACCTGATGCTGGGGTATCCTGCTTTGGTGCTGGGGCTGGGCTGTAATCCTGTGCTCCCCCTGCCCTATGAAGAGCAGAGCAGAGGGATTGCTGTGGGTGCTCCCTGGCTCCGAAGTGGACCCATAAATATCCTGCTGTTTGTGGCATGAGACAGGCTTTGTTTGGTGCCAGGAGCAGCTGTATGCCAGCACAGCCGGTCCCCAGACCCTGCTCATGTGGCCCAGAGCCCTGCCACATGTCTTTGGGACAGTTGGGGTCTGTGTGGGATGTGGTGCTGGCTGGGCAGTGCTGTGTGCATGCAGAGTGCCTGAGCCCCTGCGTGGTCCCACTGGATAGGGAGGATGGGGCTTCTTGGACACCTCTCTGCTGTCCTGTGCTCCCTCTCTCTGTAGATGGTGCTTTCAAGAAGCAGGAGGGCTCAGGGTCCCTCTCACACCCCAACCTCATGTGTCTGTGCCTCTGCAGCTGGCAGCCCATCATGAAGTTCATCAATGACCAGTATGAGAAGTACCTGCAGGAGGAGATCAACATCAACCGCAAGAAGCGGATCCCTGACACCAGGGTGCACTGCTGTATATACTTCATCCCCGCCACCGGCCACTCGTACGTACACACCCATGGGTTCCAGCCCCTCTGTGCTCCCCTCTGTGCCTTTGGTCCTACATCTCAGCTGCTTGGGGCAGCCCATCCCCAAAGATGGAGGTCTGTCAAAGGGTTTGGAGGAGCTCAGAGTCACCCATGTGCACCTGGAGTTGCTTTAGCCAAGGAGGATGGGGTGTTTTCTCCCGAGGCCATGAAAGCTTTCATTCAAGTTTGCTTTGATCACCTTTGCTCAGCTGAGGGTGGGCAGCAGGCAGCGTGTTCTTGGATGGGATGATTGCCTCTGCAAACAGGAGAACTTGCTTTTCTGCTCCCCCACCTTTGTAAGTGCTGCTGTACCGAGGGAGCCAACGTCGTAACCCTTTTAGGGCATTCTGTGGGTTGTTTGATTAGTCTGCACATGGGATGCAGTTTACTCTGTGCAGAGCTCTCCTGTCTCTGGCACTTCTCAAATAACAGCATCAAAGGGCTCCATCTCCATCTCCTGCTTTTCTGTTTTAAAGACACAGGGCCTTTACTGAGAATCTGGGGCACTTGTGGTGTTCTGAAAGCCACAACTCGAAGCGTCTCAGCATGAAGTGAGACCCGAGCTTCCTTTTGATTTGAGTCAATTCCTTCCACTTCTGGCTTTGTCTGCATGGGGAATTTTTGTGTCTGATTTCAGAAGTAAACTCAAACCACCAGCACTGTATTCATGTCAGCCTTTTCCTCTTCATCACGGAGAGATGTATTCCAACAGAAAAAAAAAAGAAAAAAAAAAGGTTTTGTTTTGCTTCTGTTGGTGGGCAGACAAAAAATGCACTTTTCAGTGGAATACAATGACTGCATGGGGCAGCTATGCTCTTCTTGTATAATAGGCACAGCGTGTGCAGGGACCTCACAGCCTCTGAGAGGGAGCAGGAGCCTCCCTCTGGGCTTGGGCTCTTCCTTTACACCCTGATGAAGTGGAAATGTAGGAGGGGATGATGTGTTGGGCCATTCTGGCTGTTGGTGCTGCTTGTCTTTGGACCTATCCGCAAACTGGGTCGGGGTATTGCAGCGTGAGCTGTGCTTTGTCTTTTTCTCGTCACTTTGGGCATTTAACCCTTGCACATCTGTGAATATGGAAGCACTGCATGCAGCAGATGTGGATGGGAGGTTTGGGGCTGCCGTGGGCTCTGCTTCCCATGCAGCACCCCATGGAGCTTGCTTCACCCCGTCCCCCGCCGGAGCCCCTCGGCGCGTTCTGGTTTCTCTCACTGCTGGCTAGCAGTAATTGCTGGAGGTTCAGCTGCCTTTCTTCTTTCTCTCCAGCAAACATGTGTTTCCAATATCAGCTAGCCGTTGGAGGATGGTGTTGCTGAGCTGTGCACAGCCCTTGCTGCAGTGCTAACAGCCCTGCCCTGTGCCACCCCCAGCATCAGCTCGCATCCCCTCCTGCCTGGGGACAGAGAGGCTGAGAGCAATTGAAGCTGTTGCCTGCAGAAAGGGGGGCAGACCCCATGGAGTGCAAGAAGTCTGTGGGAAACATTGCTTTCTCCAAAAGCTTAGCAAGCATTGGGTTTCCTTTCTGTTCTCCTTTGAAGCCCAAGTCGTGGTGCCTGGTACCCCAGTGTGCCCACGCTGCAGCGCTGGCATCAGGCTCTGTGCTCAGTTTGCAGTGCAGGGGCTCACACCACGCTTAGCACAGGCTCAAACCTCCTACCATTCTGCTCAAGGGTTAATCCAGGGAGAATTTTCCCTTCCTAGGGAGGTCAGGGCAGGATTTGCAACCCATCTAGCTCGCACACACCCTGTCCTTCTTGTAACACTCCCGTAAAACCATGTTAGCACAGGCTAAGTAACCTGCTGGCAGGGCTTTTGGCTGCAGCCGCACAAGCCGCAGTCTTTGCCACCCAATAAATTTCTCAGCTGTGACCCCTGTGAAGCACCACCAGGCTTGGAAACGTAGCTCTGAACCACTGCCCAGCCCCAACAGCCCTGCTCTGTGTGTGTGCCAGAGCCACGTGTTGAGAGATAGACACCCTGCAGCCATGATTGGGCCCCTCGTCATGGTGCTGGGTGCTGTGGGGTGGCTACATGCACAGCTCAGCTTCCTGCTGCTGATTTGATCTGGGGCACAACAGAAAGGAAATGGCTGCGGCTCTCAGTGGGTTTTTATTACCATAAAGGTATTTAGAGGCACTCTGCTGTTTCCAGCCCTGTCACAAGAGGGGGTGGGGGGCAGCCAGCATTGCTGGGTGGTGCTGTGCAGCAGGAGTTTGGCAGGAATTAGATCTGGGCTTGCCCCATCGTGACCTTGCCCGTGTCTGTGTGGGTCTGTGCAAGTTAATTAGTGGATGTTCAAATCAGGCTCTCTTCTTTCATCATCCCCTTAAGGCCTTCATTCTCCTTTGTTGTCTTCAGATGAGTAACAATGACTTCCAGCATCACTTGCTTTTAAATACTTGAGGTTTTGGGGTTCCCCAAAAATTGTGGCTGGGGGCTTTGCAGCAGCTCAGCCCGTGGATGTGGTGTTCAGGGAGGAAACACTGGGGAACTTTGCTCTACAGCATCCTGGGTGCTGCAGCTGTCCCCTCTGCTTCCATTTAGCATCACTGCTCTGCATGTGAGCTGTGCCTTGGGAACAGCCTCAGCTCCTCATCTGGTACTGGGGAGGGCTGAGGGGTCTGCTGGGCTGAATCTCACATGTCTGGTGGGCTGTGAATCCATCGGCTGCGTGCGCATCCCAGGCTGTGCTCTGATGAAAGAGGCAGGAACACAGCCTCAGTGGGGAAGAGGCTTTTAAAGGGGAAAAACTGTTTGAAAAACAGCAAAGAGAAAGGAGGGGAAAGCATTCTGCTGGGAAAGGAACGTAAGTGCATTGCTTCCTTGGAGGTCTGGGAAATACATTATGCAGAGCTCCAAACAATGTTTTCCAGCAGCAGTCTGCTTAGATGTGTCCATGGGGGTTTCCTTGTGTTTTTTTCTTTCTTTCTTTCTTCCTTTTTTTTTTTTTTTTAAATAGCCAAACTCTTTTCTTTTCTGGGGCCCATAGTGATCGGTGGCTCCTGAGCTTATGCTGGGAACTGGTTTGTACTCACACTGCTGGTACTGAGCTGTGTTGGGGTTGGGGAGCAGCTCCATGCAGGGTGTGACCAGACCTTCCTGGGAGGAGAAGGGGTTTGGGCAGGGTACAGCTGGATCTATGCATGGGGGTAGCCTTGAGCTGTGGTTTTAGGATCACAGGAGTGGCATGGTGCAGCTGAACAGCTCTCTATAGACTGTATGTTGCTGCTGGGTGGCCTCGAGGGATGGATATGGGACATCATCAGTGTCTTTCCCTGTGTGCTTGCAAGGCTTTTGATGGGTTTGTAGGAGCCATACAGGGTCTCTGGGGGATTCTGAGCCCTTCATAGGGCTCACAGAGACCACCACAGTGGGGCTTGGTTGGGTGTGTTGGCAGTAGGAGCCGTCTCGACTGTGTTCTCCCCATCTCTGAGTGCTTGGCTTGGCTCCATGTTGCCCCACGCAGGGCTCCAACCTGCTCTTGTGGGTTCCTGGTGGTGTGGGGCCTCTGGTCTGTGGAACAGGGCTTCACCAAGGCCTGCCAGGCTGAGGCTGTGTCACCATGGGGCTGTGAGGATGTGGGCATTGGGATGTCTTGCTGCTGCTGAGGTCTGGTGTTGGAAAGACATTGAGGAGCCAGAGCACATCCAGAGAAGGGCAGTGGAGCTGTGAAGGGTCTGGAGCACATTTCCTGTGGGCAGCGGCTGAGGGAACTGGGCTGGTTCAACCTGGAGAAGAGGAAGCTCAGGGGGGACATCACTGCTCTCTACAACTCCCTGACAGTGGTGAGGTGGGGGTTGCTCCCAGGTTAACTGCAGTAGGATGAGAGGTGATGGCCTCAAGTTGCACCAGGGAAAATTCAGGTTGGATATCAGGAAAAATTTCCTCTCAGAAAGAGAGCTGATGCAGTGGCACAGCCGCTCAGGGAGGTGGTGGAGTCACCGTCCCTGGAGGTGTTCAAGAACCCTGGAGATATGGCACTGAGGGATGTGGTCAGTGGGCTTGGTTGGGATGGGCTGGGGTTGGACATGGTGATCTGAGAGGTCTTTTCCAACCTTAACGATGAGATGGTTCTATTGTGCCTCGTGAGATCAAGCTTTGGCATTTGCCCCAGACCAAGCAGAGGTGTCCCTGAGCTGTACAGCTGCATTTAACTCCCAGTGATAAGAACACCTCCTGGGGGGAGTGAGGAGCAGAGGCAGGGTCAGGGCCGGGTGCCTGTGTGCACGCACCCATGAGGGATGGGTTTCCCAAGGAGCTGAGTGCTGGGGTTATGCAGTCACTTCGACTTTGCTCTACTGAGACTTTCACCGTGGAAATTTTTCTACAGAAATTGCACGGCCCCATGTGAGTCCCATATCCTTCCACTGTGTTTTTCAGGCTCCGACCGCTGGACATCGAGTTCATGAAACGCCTGAGCAAAGTGGTCAACATCGTCCCCGTGATCGCCAAAGCCGACACGCTGACACTGGAGGAGAGGGACTACTTCAAGCAGCGGGTGAGGGGCCAGGAGGCTGTGCAGGTTGGGAGCTGAGCTCTGGGCCGCCAGCCCAGCATTCCTCAGCCGCAGCTCTTAGCGATCCCATGCGGCAGGGAACGGCCTTCACTCTTCTTTGTGTTTCTCTTGGAATTTTGTCAGTGCGGGATAAGTTCTGAGCTCGTGGCCTCGGGGCCTGTTTCTCCTGCCTCCTTTGTTGCTGCTGTTGTTATTTTCAGGCTGGTTTGTTATATTTTGGGAGGCTGACGGCGGCGCACGTAGAGGCTGTAAAAGCCTTCGTGGGCAGCACTGTGTGCTCAGCAGCAACCAGGAACGAATGTGTGTGTCTGCTCAGCTCAGCTGGGCCACATTTGTGGGGAAGCAAGGCATGAAATCCCCTTGATTCTGTTGGTGGGGAGCTGAGGAGGGGCTGTCTGACTGCACAGGAGCAGCGTGTGTGCTTTCCTCTGTGTGCACACTGAACTGCACATGGCCCAAATATCCTGGTGTAGTGCAGGGGATGGCTGAGGGCTGGAGGACACAGAGAGAATTGCTGGGTCTGGAGGACCAGCCAAGATATCAGCGTTTGGCTGCTGGGCATTGCTGTGCCCTGGTATGAGTGAACCGATGGGATGGGATGGGATGGGATGGGATGGGATGGGATGGGATGGGATGGGATGGGATGGGATGGGATGGGAGCAGCAGCTCCTTTGCCTGAGTTTTCATGTGTATTCATGCTCTACTCTTCCCCTCCCAGATCACGGCTGATCTCCTTGCCAATGGGATTGATGTGTACCCTCAGAAGGAGTTTGATGAAGATTCTGAAGATCGGCTCGTGAATGAGAAATTCAGGGTGAGTGCACGGCACTGCAGATGGATGTCTGTGGTTGGGGGTGTGAGGCTCCATGTTACCATGATGCCCAGGGGTCCTCTTGCAAAAAAGGAAAGCAGCATGGCTCAGGACTTTGCTGGGCAGCCTGGTTTCCTGACCCTTTTTTCAGAAGGAAAACATAACCTTGCTTTTGTCTGCCTTCAGGAAATGATCCCATTTGCAGTGGTGGGCAGTGACCAGGAATACCAGGTTAATGGAAGGAGAATCCTTGGAAGGAAGACCAAGTGGGGCACCATTGAAGGTAGCTTGTCCTTATTTCCCTCCCTCCTGAGCCCATTTCCTGACTCAACAGAAGGTGATAAGGTCCTTTCTTATGGTTAGACTGGATGATCTTAGTCTTTTCCAACCTTAATAATTCTATGATAATGATTCTGTGAATCCTCCATGCATTTAGCAGTGGGATCTCATCATTCTTCCATCTTCATCCCATCCTTTTTTTTTCCCCTCTCCCATTTTAAATTACAGTTTGAAGGTTCCTGGCTCCAATCCATCATCACATTTCCCTGCTCCTGCCTTCTGGCAGCCAGCTGACACATCTCCAGTGCCACCCCTCTGCCTTCCTCCCCTTCATTTCAGGGACTGCTCTCATTTATGATTCTTTTTTATAGGATTCCTGTGTTGAGGGATTGCTTAACAAAGCTGCCAGGAAAATTGGTGTATTTTAAATCTCTGCTGCCCTCTTGTGCTCTATCCTTGGAAGCTCTGAGTTTAATGGGGTTTGGAGTGGTTGAGCGTGGGTCTCCCCATGCAGAAGGCAGATGCCACACAAGGACCCAGTGTGCCCATGGGCACCTTGCAGAGCAGTGTTACTTGTTGTCCTGCCATTTCTGAGTTCTCTTCAAAGTTTGCATGGAAAAACAATTTAAAAAGGGGGTTGATGCTCTAAATTCAACTGCCTGGTAAACTGAGAGCTGTTGTGTTCATTGTGCTGGTGTAGCACTCTTTGCTTTTTCCCCCTCCCTCTTGCAAGCACTCTACCCTTGGACTAGGTCTCTGTCCCCATTCTCCACATGCTGGTGAAGCCCCATCACACCCTCCTGCCCCAGGCAGCTGCCACACTCATGTCATGGGTGTACACTGATGGGTTTCTCTCTCTCTCTCTCTCCCCCTCCCAGTGGAGAACACAACACACTGTGAGTTCGCCTACCTGCGGGACCTCCTCATCAGGTTGGTAGGACTGTGTCACGTCCCCACAGCTTTGGTCATCAGCTGGCATCCAAATGGCAGAGCTCAGCCCACCAGATGCAGCCCTGCTTCGCTTTCCTCCTCCATCCCTCTGTGCTTCCCTCCCAGCCCTCGGTGGGGTGGCCCCATGCCATGGGATGTGGCTGCTGGGGGCTTCTGGACCCAGCTGCCCATAACTGCCTTTGCTTCCCTCCTGCATCCTAAAGATGTAAAGATGTACCATTAGCCAGGGGTGCAAGTGGGGAGATATAGGCTGGAAAGCAGAGGGTGGAAAGCAGAGGGTGAGGTGGCAGCCGGGGTTGGCACAGTGGGTGTTATGCCCTATATGTGACCACCCCCATGTTTCTGTTTCCCACAGGACACACATGCAAAACATAAAGGATATTACCAGCAATATCCACTTCGAAGCCTACAGGGTGAAGAGGCTGAACGAGGGCCAGAGCTCGCTCTCCAACGGCGTGACCGACAAAGAGCTGGTGGCTAACGAAATGTAACCGTCTCGCTCTGTAGCCAGGACCTTGCTCGCTCACGCTCGCTATTTCTACCCCCTTCTCCCTTTATTTTTATATAAATCCTCTGCCACTGTCCCTCTTCCCCCAGAACCCCCCCACCAATGTTAACTGACCAAATAACCAGATGCCGTATGTTGTACAGAGTGGGGTGAGTGCCCGTCCCCCGCTGCTCCCCAGCCCTGGGAGGGGATGGAGGAGCCTCCAGCCATAGGGCTGAATGGATTTGGGCTGTAGGGCAGCAGGTGCTGCGGGGTCTCAGGTTGCAGTTGGTGTCTCCTGCCACCTCTGTGGCCATGCACCCACGGCAGTTTGCCAAAGGCTGAGTACCTCTGTCCCACGTCTGTGCCATTTTTCCTCTCCGTCCATTGGAGGCAAGGGTTGCTCCATGTCATTGTACCCTCCAGAAGCAAAGCATGGTACGGTGGTGTGAAGACAGCAAGACAGTGTCATCCTTGTCTCCTTCCTCCTCCTCGGCAGCCCTGCAGCGCCAGCCCTGACCCAGCCCCTCTTCCCTGCCTACATGCAATAAGCTGGGAGCATTGGGGCATTACCTCGCCTCACAGCAGCCTGGCTCTGGGAGAAGTGCCTTTAGGACTGTTACCTTGCAATAGTGCAGAATGGGGGCGGGGGGTTGTGTCTGGAAAACGCTTCCCCACGCTGCAGTGCTTTGCAGAGACTCTTTGTCCCTCTCACTCATGGCTTGGCCCATAGGTATGGCTGGGTTCCTGTGGACCCGCGTGTATTTATTTTTAATCTGTAGGGTGTTTTATTCCACGGAAGGCTCAGAGTGTGTTTGAAGGGGCTGAGAGTGGAACGTCTCTGCAAAGCGGTGCTGGGAAGTGGAGGTTTGTCCTATCTTACCCTTGTCACAGTGGGCTTTTCCCTAAGTCAGAGGAGGCCGTTAGGTGTTATTTTTCTAAACATATTTCTTTGCATCCCTTGTGTGATGTCTCCATAATGCACTCCTCCATGTGAGTAGCCCTGTGCACGGGGCTGTGCCCACACCGCCTGAGCCCTGCATGCCCACATGCATGAGAGCAGCCTGGCCCTATGGCTCTGCCCCACACTCTGTGTTTCCATGGACCTGCAGGAAGAAGGACTCTGTGTTGGTTCTGCTTTGGAACGTTGCGTGGCTCAGGAGCCCCACATCCCCCTGCCCCTCTCCCAGTGTCAGCTCCATCCATCTCTGCTCTCCTCTGTGGGATGAAACCTCATGCAAATGGCCCTTTTTTTTTTGGCGTGTAATAATGGCAGCGTGGCCCACCCTGCATTCCCTATGGGGCAGAGGAGCAGAGGCAGCTCTCCCCTGCTCAGGATGCCCACAAACTCAGTGAAGGGTTAGGAGGTGCTCCTGCACACCCTGGGGTGCACCGCAAGGAGAACGCGCTCTCCCCATAGCTCACATTTCCCCCTCTGCAGCAGCACTTGCTGAGCTGCTGAGGAAGCACAACCGTTTGCATACTGACTTGCTATATTTTAGCAAAAACAAAATGTATTTAGTGAAAAAAAAAAAAAAAAAAGAAAGAAAAAAAAAATAGGTGCATTTCAATTGTTACAAAGACTTCAAGGGGAGAAAATCTCCTGCGCGAGGCACTTCTGCAAATGTCATCTTAAATTCTTTTCCCTCCAGTTGATCTCTTAAGCTGGGCCAGGCGAGGAACGCTGCTTTCTCCCTTATAACCTGGGATCTTTCTCTTTCTTTTTTGGGGGGGGAAGGAAATGAAAATACAATAATAAAAAGAACAAACTTCATCCGGATGTATTACAATGGCCTTTCGGGGGTTATAAGCATTACGAGAAATTTAGTCCTTTTTTTTTTTTTTTTTTTTTTATTTGTATAAATAATAGTGTTTAATATGTATTTCCCAAAATAAATGTTTTGAATGCGGATGGGAGGCGGCTTGTTTGGAATTGGCTGTTCCTTGGGGGCAGGATCCAACTGGCTGCTGGACGGGGCTGTGCCCATTTTGGGGGATGGCTGAATGCATTGCTGACCCCTGATCACCATAGAGCTGCAGTGGGGTCCCAGCACTTCCCATGTAGATATCCTGCTTGTGTGCTGTAGTTTTTCTCCCCAACGTGCCTGAGCTGCATTCAAACCAATAGGGCAGAAAGCACCTTGCTTTGAGTTGGGTTTGGGTTCCTTACAGGCATGTGGGGTACAGGACATCTTTAGAGACCTGGTTTTCTGCTGGCACCTGGGTTGCAGAGGGAGTCTTCCCTGCCTGTAGCAGGGGGTTGGAACTAGGTGACCTTAAAGGTCCCTTCCAACCCAAACCATTCTGTGATTCTGTGATTCTATGCACGGCATCCAGGAGTGCACTGTCAGTTGGCTCCCAGCCCCATTGCAAAGCCCAGCCTGATGCCTTTCAGGGGATTTCCAAGCAATGTGCTGTGATTTTGTGGTTGCTTTGGCTCAGGCACAGTTCACCCCCAGCTCTGCTGCTCTGCAGGTCCTCACTGCTGGAACAACAGCCAGACCCCAAGCACAACCTCTTTGGGGGGGGGAAAATCAACATACAGTTGTAATTACAAACACGAGCCGTGGGCTTTGCTTCTGGCAAAGCATCTGCAGCAGCTTTTCCCCTACAGCACTTTTTTTCCTGTGCTGGTGCTGCTTTTTGCAACTTTTCTTGGGTTGGGGCAGGGGCTGCACTGGGACAGATGCTGTGCTGGTGCTGGACAGGAATGAGTTCTTGCTGCAGGAAGGGGCAGGTGGGGATAGCTCCTGCAAGAAAACCTCAGCTCGGGAAGGGTTTATGCAGTGAAATCTCCCTGAGCATCCCATGAAGGGCTGTTGGGGGGGATTGGGAGGCACTACATGGCCACGTTTCAGTCCCCAGTGGTCCCTGGGGTACGTGTGCTTAACGATGCTGTAGTGATAGAAAGAGCCTTGTGCTAATGGCTTATTGAGTGCCCTCGCTTCAGCAACTGAGGGAAATGAAGATGAGTGAGAGTTTAATTACCGCAGTGATGGGTACCCGTTCCTGTTTGCTTTGCTGCAAGGGGGGAGTCCCTGGGCATTGGGGTTTTTGGGGTGACACCGGAGGGGATGGAAACCCAGGAAGGGGCTGGGGCTGCTCCTGGCCCCATGAGCATCGCGCCCAGCCCAGCTGCTATAAATAATACGAATAAAAGGGAGCATCAATAATTAAAGCAGCTCATAGCGAGTGGTTCCTGAAACGTCTGCCTGATTTAAAAACTAATTACTTGGAGGGTAATCACCAGCACCTTGTGCATAGGAGCCCAGAAGCCAGCAGCACTGCTCAGGGGATGGGCATTTAGGATGAGACATTAGGATGAGCTGCCCAATGCACTGTCCCACGGGTTGCACCACCTGCACAGTGCAAACAGTGCTGATGGATATCCGGGCTGTATCTCCTACACCAACCCGTGGTGCTCATCATAACCCGCACGCAGCCACGTGGGACCCATCCTCATGGGAACTCCTTTTGATGTGCACTGTGCTGTGCAGCAGCAGACACAGCATTGGCTTTCTGAGCTCTAATTGCTGAGGAGCTGCAGAGCTGCAGTCGGCAGCCTGGGGCTTTGATCAGCTCCGTGGCTGCAGCAAAAGGGAGAAATTGTCCATCTGTCCCCACCTGCACCGCCCCAACCCACGCAGCTCTGAGAACTAGAGCAGCAGGGTTTGCTCCCTGCACATGGCATGTCTGAGGCTGCAGCTCCCTGCTCCACGTTTGGCTGCCAACTCCTGATTCTCACCACTGCGCTGCGTTGCTTCATTTAGGAAAACAGAATAATTCATTTCGAACGTCTGGGATTCAGGAGCCTTCCACCCACAGCCCACAGTATTTTCTCATTAACATTACCCAGCTAAGCTAAAAACTGCCATTTCAAAAGTCATGCTTCCATCAAAGGCACATTACCAGCTGCCCAGGGACTCCAAAAGTTTACTGAAGCTTAAAGACATACCTCACAGCACGCAGTAATGAGCCAAATTCCCTCTTCTTATACCTACTGAAACCATCTTTTGTGCACGTATCTGTCCCCCAAACCCTCAGCAGAAAAAGGTGTGGGGCTGCTGCAGAGAAATGGAAAACCCATATGGTTCCTGGCTAGCCCCAAAGAGCATGGCCTGGGTCCATCCCAGAGCTGCATGGAACAGGAGGGATCCCATCTAGCAGGGGAGAAAGCTGTCTGCTGAATGCTCAATTCCCAACCTGAGCCCAGACCAAGGCTCAGCTCCAGGACAGGAGCAGACTGGAGGGATGCAGATACAGGAGGAGCTCAGCACTGGTTCAGGGACACAGCTCTGAGCATTGCAGCCTGCAGGAGCAGCATGCCTTGGGAACAGCAGCTGATGCTGTGTGCATTGCATGAGCCCCTTCCCTTTTCTTTGGCATTTCCTCACATCCTCCACCACGGATCAAAACTTGCCCAGAGAAATGTGGGTGCCCCATCCCTGGAGGTGCCCAAGACAGGGTTCAAGGCAGCCTGACTGAGCAACCAGCCCATGGCAGGGGGTTGGAAGTAGTAAAGTCCATTCCAATCTAAGCCATTCTATTACCTTTCCCCCAAGCAGAGGGCTGTGCCTGCAGCACTGCTATAGGGGCTACAGAGGTGCCCATTTCCCCAGACTCAAGTCTGGAAAGCCCAATGCTATGGCTATAAGTACCGTGTCTATAGGATGTGCTTGGAGGACTCTCACACATGTGCTCACCTGGGAGGCCGATGGGTGGTCACTTTGTCATCACATCTGGGTGTCCACCAAGCACTGGATGCGCACCCACACAACTCTGGATCCTCTTCAAAGAGAAACATAGAAGAGATTGAAATGTGAGCCCTACAGATGTGATACCGAGCCCTGCAGCTGTGATGCTGAGCCCACAAGGTGTTCCAAGCACAGTGACAAGGGCAGGCTGTCTCCAGGCACATCCCCACCCCCTGCAATACGTGTGTGATGTGTGATCAGACAGCTCCCATAACCTCAGTGAGCACTCAAAGGAGAGCTGCTCCCAACCACTATGGGGACGGTGCTCTGAGCCCGGTCTGCTCTGATTCAGCGTGTTCAGATCAGTGTAACAGCTCTCGGTGAGAGAAACCTGCTGTATCCTCAAGGCAAGTGTGTTTGGGCAAAGCAATAAGAGAGACTTTAAGAGGTTTGGAGGTTACAGTGGGAAATAGCAGTTATTCCCAATAAGCAGTGTTAAATGAAGTGCTGCTGACAGTAGCCTGAGGCAGGTTCAAGAGTTTCAAGATTTGCAACTAAGAGATTAACCAAAATAGATGTCTTATTACAGGCAAGTTTGTATCTAAATCATTTAAAGTGCCTTTAGACGCTGTAATGTTTTTCCTCCTAAGTGCTCATAGTATATCTGCAGCATCCTCCTGGCTCCGTGCACAGTAATGAGAGAAAGACCTTGATCCCAGTGAGTCCCTGTGCTGGGAGCTGGGCAGGTTGGATTTGGCATGGAGGGCACCCTCTGCACAGCCAGTGGTTTTGTTAGTGCTGCTAATGCATGTTGCAAAAGTGCAGTGTGAATGGCAGCACCTCTGTGAGCTGCAGAAGTGTTGTGTTGTGCTCTCTGTCCCTTTTTTTTTTTTTCATAGGTGGATTTCACGCTCTGCTTTGCAGTTATATTTAATGGGAGCTCTGTGACAGTGTTCTTATTGCTCTTGGGGTCTTTGTAGCCTCCCATTCAAATACTAGCTTTCTGCAAATGCATCTCAAGCTTACAACATCAAAATACCATGAAATTAGCTGTAAAATTAGGCATTTGGAAAACCATGTTTTATTGTTTTGGAGTGCTGGCACTGCCCTGCCGAGCGCCCGCGGTGCTGCTGGCAGAGCCTGGTGATGCATGCATGGGGTGCAACAAAGCTGCAAGCAAGGGCAGAGCACTGGGGCTCCGCAGGGAGTGCAGACAGCCCTGGGACCACGCTGGGTGTTGCAGTAATCCCAAACACATGAGATGTGTGGGGTGTTGGGGTGCTGAGCAGAGCTTTCTCCAAAGGGAGCCTCAAACGTTTGGGTCAGGATCCTGCTGGGAGGAGGGGCACTCTGACCCGGATCGCAGAGCCGACCTCTCACTGGATTTTTGGCAAGAGGGACATTGATGTAACATGAGGTTTTAAACTGGGAAATGTGAAACAGCTGCTCTGGTTGTAAGCAGGCCAGGAGCTGAGTGGAGGGCAGGGCCTGCGGGCGGTTGGGTTACAGGCGTTGGCAAACAGGAGACTTGGCTTTTCTACCAATAGCATCAGGAAGAACTTCAGGAGCTTGGGATCCCAAACACAGCCTGGGGAAATGGGTGGGTCTGAGCGATGTCTGTGCCAGGAGACCACAAGGGAGGTGTGAAACGAAGTGGGGAGCACAGAAAATGCATGGCTTACACAGGGGTCTATGGGAGGATGAGACCTGAGGGCATCTTTGCGAGGACTTTTAACTCCGGAGGGAGATGTAAGAAACCTGCAGTCCGCCCTGGTTGGGATGCAGCAGGCTTCATGCTTTTCATTAGATGAGCATTGAAATAATTTCACAGGGAATGTTCTCATTCTTCATAGAGCGATAGAGTTGTTTTTGTGGCTCTAATGCTCTCGCAACCTCAATGATATCTTCTGCAAGTGCTTTTCTCAGGTTAATTATGCATTAAGTTTACATAAGGCTTTTTCTTTTTTTAATCAGATTTAAACCTGCAGCCTTCAGCAGTGCTGACTCTCGGATGCTGCCAGGACTGAACCAATCTTCCCACCCTGCCTGTTCCTTTGTCCTTCATTTGTGACCTTGCTAAATAAGCAGTCCTTAGACTTTTGGCTGCTTCTCTTTCTTTTAGATGCCTCCTTTCTCTTGGAGATGCCTCCCTTCTGTTGGAG